CTTTTTAAGTCATACTTAGTTTGGCTGGACAAAGAATTCTAGTGGCAAAATAATTTTTCTCATAATTGTAAAGGACTCACCTCGTTACCTTCTAATGTGGCATCCAGACTCTTGTTTTATTTTTTAATTATTTTTTTTTGTTTTGTTTTTCGAGACAGTTTCACTGTGTAGCTCTGACTATCCTGGAATTCACTCTGTAGACCAGGTTGGCCTCAAACTCGAGATCCGCCTGCCTCTGCCTTCCCAAGTACTGGCATACGCTACCACTACTTGGCCCCAGAGTCTCCTTATTGCTGCACTATTTTTTTTTTTTTTTTTTTTTTTTGCTTCAGGTGTAGAGCTGGTAAGTTACTTGCGGTGAGATGGTTACTTGTATCCAGTGTGGCTGCATTTGGAACATCTGTGATACTTTAAAGCACCTGGTACCCAAGTCTTGCCTAAGATGTTCTCACAGCGTCTGTCTGGAATAGAGTCCTGTTTCAGCACTGGAAGCGGTAGAAGTATTCCAGGACCTCTGAGAAAATCTTAGGATTGAAAGCCAAGAGTAGCATGCTGTCTTAGCCAAGTTTCTGTTGCTATGATGAACACCATCAACAAAAACATCTTGGGGAGAAAAGGGTTTATTTCACCTTATAGCATACAGTCCATCACTGAGGGAGTCAGGGCGGGAACTCAAAAGTAGGAACCTAGAGGTAGAAATTAAAGCAAATACCATGGAGAAACACTCCTTACCTACTTGTACTTCCTGGTTCAGCAGTTCGCTGTCTTATACACTGCAGTACCACCTGACCAGGGGTGGTATCACCTACAGTAGGCTGAGCTACATCAGTGATCAGTCAAGAAAATGCCCCACAGGCCAATCTGATGGAGGCATTTTCTCAGTTGAGGTTCCCTTTTCTCTAGCTTATGACAAGTTGGGTGTCAAACCAGTACACACACACACACTGTTCCCATTTTGTTTATGTTGTCCAGATGGGGGTGGTTCATACAGCTCTAGTGTATTCTGAGAGCAGGCAGGGTTCCCATTAGAAAACTTGTGACAGCCTGGGTGCCTAGGACCTGCTGCTGCTAGGACCAACTTAGATCCAAGCCTGGTCTCTCAACAGCTTCCTTTGAGACTTTGGGGTACAGTTGTGTGGATGGAAGGTGGAGGGAACAGGTGGTGTGGGTGTACTTGTTATAATCTGGTGGCTGTCAGGAAGAGGAATAAGAGGAAGAGACAAACCTTGCCATTACCAACCTGGTGCTGCACGGATCCTTTCTGCTAGTGTTGCGTCCGGATGATTGCTTTCAGGAACATGGATAATAATATGGATGATAATGATGGTCCTGTGGCCTCAGGTCACCTAGTGATGTTTCCTCCCTTCCTTTCTTTCCCCACTACCTCTCATCATGTAGCCCAAGATGGCATCAGCTTTGAGTAGCCAACCCTCCGGCCTCAACCTTCTGGTATTATAGGCCTTTGCTACCGTGTTTGCTTTACTCGATTTTTAGAGTGTATATCACCATGAGCTTACACAGTTCTTATTTCATTCTTGGCTGGGGCTGTCATGGTTTCCCTCCCAATATCCAGACATCTAGGTAGCATGGAATACTGGGCCACAGTGTCTTCAGTACCTTAGGCCAAGCTCAGTCCTCAGGAAACGGTTTGCTAGCTTTCTGAAAGGAGCTTATACTTCACACCCTCCCAGTCTGAAAGCCTGCCCTGCTGATGTTACTTCCTTTTTCGGTCCCCGCTGTTTAGTTCATCTTGTGTTTGTTATTCTGGGTGAAGTACAGGGTAGATGTAAGTAGCTGAGGTCAGCTGCCAAGACTCAGCTGAACCTGTTCTGTCAAGACAAACCCAAGTGTTGCCTCATCATGGCTGTTTGAGGAAGCAGAATGGCGTGAACAATTCTTAAGACAGAATTTAAATAAAACTACTTCCTAGGGCAGAAGAGGCGGCTCCATCTGTAAAGCGTTTGTCTTACAAGCATGAAGCCCCAAGTGTAATTCCTAGAACTTGTGTCAAAAAGCTGGGTGTGGTGGCTTGTTTGGAGGCCGGCAGATCCCGGGACAGCCAACTGAGCCTGTTTGGTGACATCCAGGTCTGCGAGAGACCTTGTCACACAGAAGATGGTAACATCTGAGGTGGTACAGTTCCAGCAGGCTCTTATCCCCACTCATCCAACCCTAACGTCTGGAAAATCTTAATATCTTCTGGAAATTATTTTCTAGTTTTATTATCTTTGAAGTAGAAAACTATGTATAGGTTATCACAGAATATACGTTTCAACTTCTGAAATTCTGAAGTAATGAATTTGTTTTTGAAACTAAATATTCCTTGATATACTTAAGAGAGGGGTTTTGCAACCTCTGTCATTGAATGGAAAGAGCATTTTGGTACTGATGTTCATTGTCACCACTGTAAAAACAGGTTTTGTCTTTCATAAAACACAAATGGCTTGTCACTGAGTGTCATTGTATCTGAATGCATCTGTCTATGATAAGGACATTATAGAACGAAGGACCCTAGGTAAAGTGCTGGGAGATGACATCACCTCATTATTGTCTGTGGGAAGTGAATGAGAATTCATGGCAGTTCTGTATGGCACAGTGGAATTTAGTTGGCTCTTAGGAAGGACATGTTTTCCTGTAATGTGTTAAGTAGAACGTTTTACCTTCATCTTTAGCTAGCATAAATTCGAAGGTTCTGTTTTCAGAAATGCTGGGTTATTTGCAGTGGGGAGGACTAATTTTTTCGTTACATTCTCGTAACAACAGGAATGCACTTCATCATGTGACTTTTTACTAAGGGCAGAGTGAACCACAGCCCACTGCTCCTCTTCCAGGAGTGAGGAATGTTAATATCTCCATGGAGCTAGGTTTTTCCTGTTGGAACCATGGCAACCAGCTGCCCTTACAAAGGGACTGGCCTCCCCAAACATGGAACCCCCACGCACAAACATTTGACTTTCTTCAAGGCTGTAATATTAGAGCAAATTCCTGTCTTTGCCAAACATAAGATTCATTGTGAGAATCTTCCAGCATTACACGGATTCAGTTTTTCTTGAAATCTGACTTTCCTTAAGCAACTTTTGTAGCAGAATTCTGTTAATTTCAGTGTGCTTGTGAGGAGTGTCATCTTGTTTTTGAGGTTCTCGGGAGGGTTTTATCCTGCATGCTTGCCCTGAGCCACAGGGATGGCTGGAGTTTCCTGGTGGTGGCAAACCTATCTCACAGTAGGAGGCATCACGTTACCTTTCTTGGTCATTTCCCCCTTTACTTTTATTTATGCCTATAGTTCATCAGAATCTGGTGCCGTTGCTAACTGGTTTGGACCGGCCAAATTCTAGGGATTAAGGGTAGAAATTAAACTGCTGTTTGGTATGAACCCTGCGGAAAGATGCTGCTTTGGGTTGGATCTTGGGGGCGTGAGTGAATGGGGCAGCTTCCCCGTGTCTTTGTCTTGCTTCTGAGTCATATCATTCCCCTCCCCCTTGGGGGAATGGGGGAGGGAGGTGCAACTCTTTTGTATTAACAGACCCTGTATAAGAGGCCTTTCTTACAGCAGAAAGTCGAGAGTGTCATAGTTAGCTCTAAATGCATGTTAGGGTGGTGTTCCCTCAGGACTGACAACTTTCTTCAGCTTGTCTTAACTTCAAATGCCAAAGAGATTTATTATCTCAACTCTGTACACACCTGTTTTGCTTTGCGTGCCTTTTCGCAGTGGCATCAAGACTTGTAACGATGTGGTTAACGTGATTCAGGTGTTGGTCGTCTCTTTTCCAGTAGAGTTCTCGTTCCTTAAAGCCCCATTAGTGCCCTCTTCTGGACTGAACACCTTTTAAGGGATCTGCCTTTAACACCCAGGCTGAGCTCCTGTCCCTTTCTGCACGGGGGCCCCAAATTTCCAAGCCTTTGCAACTGTCCTTCCCATAGGGCAAATTTGAGCTGCGTTAGCCCAACTGTCAGCCCCTCCAGAAGTGGTTTGTTCTTCCATCCAAATCACGGCTACACCCAAGTCACCAGGTACTCTCCAGTGTTTGCCCTGCATTTTCCATTTCGTATTTATATCAGTTATAGCACAGTTCTTTCTGTAATGCTCTTTGTGGTGATTTTATCTTCCAAACTCTTGTGCGTTTTCAACACATTTAGTTGTCACTGTGGATTTTTTTGTTTGCTTTGGTTTTTATGTCTCGGATGTAATATCTTTGAAGGAAACTTTATAATATATATACTTTAATATCTATCCCCTGGGGATAAGGCATCGCCAGCCCCTGAAGCCCAGGCTAACCTGGCCTCTCCATCCAGGACAAGCACTTTCCTAGCTCTTAAGCCCAGAAGAACCTCTTTGCTCTGAGTTCTCTGTCCCCTGCAATCTCTGCTCTGGGTCTGAACTCTTTGCTCAGTAGTACAGTAAGGATCACCTATTCTTATTCTGTGTGAGATCCTGGCCTCTTTCCACTGTCAAATAAGTTGTTTTTTTTATAATATGCATTTACTAACCCCAGCTGTGGGCTTTTAGGATGACTAATCGTGACTAAATAAAGTTCTGTTGGGTCTGTAGTAATCAGCGTTTGCTGCAGTCAGAGCTGAATATTCATGCTCGGGCAATGACCTGGGTTGGGTGGACACACTCAGGTGTCACAGATGTTAGCAGTCGCTTCATCTCACTAGGGACACAGCTAGCCATCCTTGAAGTATTCAAACTGAGGTATTTGCCAACCAGTCACACATAAGCAGGCAGACTTTTAGACTCTCCCCAAGGATATTTTACTTTTACTTTAGTGTTGTTCTAGGTGCCTGTCGTCACTTATTGCTGGCATTCTCTGCTGTCATCAGTGAGCATGGGCATTACTTTCTCTTTACCTTCCTTTCATTCCTTCAAAATTATATCTAAAGTTTTTCTAGTAGTGTGAAGTGACCTTAGCTTTCTTGGGGTGTAAAATATAGTTTTATGCTCTTGAACGTTGAATTCTAAAAGAGCTATTTTCTCTCTCTTTTTTTTCTCCTAACAGTTGGATATTCTAAAAACCAAGCAATCGCACAGAGCACCGGGTCTTACCTTTGCTTTTTGGATTCAGTAAGTAACTCCCTGTTTTGTTGATAATGGCTTTGTGTAATATTGACCAAATAATGATTGTGAATTTTAGTATGGTTCTTAAAAATAAATTTGTCGACACGTTATGATGAATCTCAAAAGTCAAGTTTAATAGGTTGTTGCTATACGCTGCCGTAACAATTAACACTAAGTAAGATCATTTACAAATGTGAAACAGGACCACAGAATATAAACAACATTAACATAAGCACAGTACTAGCAAGCATGATCTTAAGAGATTAAAAACATGGAAACAGGTCCTGACAGCTAGAGCAAAATATGAAGCGGATTCGTGGGTGGGGGTCAGGAGTGGACCTAGCGGTGACAGGTAGACTTACACAGAATTTCAAATCAGTCAAAGTTATATTAAACTTTTAATTTGTAATCAGATTAAATTAGCAAGATACTTCCACAAAGTAAGTTTTCAAAATGTCAGTGTGAATTGGGACCACACTGATAGCGTGATTGTATATTTTATTCAGGAACTTAAAATGCTTGTGCTCTTGACTCCTGACTTTCACAATTGTTTATCATAACAAATTAGAAGCTGGTTACTGTGTGCTGAGCACTGATGGAGAGCACTAGCAGACCGTCAGAACTGTCACCTTTATGGGGCCTCCTCAGGAACAGGACACTTAGCTGCAGCAGATGAACAGAGACTGTGTACAGATTGTGCTGTGCTTAGAAACCCTGACAGACTAAAGCAGAGCAAATCAGTTTGTCTTAAACAAATACAACTTTTATGTATCTAAATTATTCCATACGTTGGGTCCCTGGCTTCTTAGAAACATGCATACCAGGGCCCATGATATGTTGGCCACTGGTTTATACAGCTGTTACAAGTTTTGTTTCTGTCTCTCATTGGCTACTCCAGGTCCATGGAGGTAGGAAGGTCACATAGGCCAGGAGATGCAGCCTCCCTTTCATGCAAGGGACGGGAGGAGCACTGACCCACAGGGTTACCTTGGGAGGTCTGACATTTTGAAGTCAGAGTTCTGCATAGTGTTATCTTTATTGTATTTAGACAGCACGCTTGTAACTTGTTGAAGGCAGATGTTGCCAGTTGGACGAGGAAGTGTCTCTGTGATTTTTGTATTTGACCTGTCTGTTTTAGGCTGAAGTTATTTATAAAACAGCTTTGGTATTAGCCATGCAGAACCCACTTCAGCTGTAGGAAGCAAGTGGGGACTGTCGCTGTCTTTGGCCCAGTGCGTGTGTCTGGCAGAAAAGATCCATGTGGACTGCTGCTCTACTGAGCTTTGCCCTCAAGTTTTTGGCTCCACCTTCAGGTGCTTAGTTGTTCCCTTAAGCTGAAAGCAGAAAGCAAGCTGTTCATTCTGAGCCTATGTGTAACTAGCTCTGGAAGTCATGACAGACAAGAAGGGGAGGGAAAACTGGAACCTGTGTCTCATATCTCACAATTGTCTCTTTGGTTAGTTTTCTCTTGCCTTATAGCTAGCTCCATGCAGGGAACTACAAATTTTCATGTGAGTGTGTCTATAATTTAGGTGGACTCGTGTTATTTTATAACAGGAGTCCACCTAAAAACCGGGCAGTGGTGACATATGCCTTTAATCCTAGCACTTGGCAACTCCCCATTTGTGTAGCCAAATAGCATGGCATCTGAATTGGCCATCTTCTTGAGGGGTATGAGCCCATAGCCCGGGATCCATGCTACTCCAGATACGGTCTGCATTGGATGGTGAATCCTAGCAGAGGCCTGCAGAGTTGCAGGGCTGCAGAGATTCAGAGCTGAGGACAGGGCTCCTTCATCCTCCTCAAGGTTCTTTGGATGGAACAAACTGAAAGAGATGAAGTAGGACCATAGATATGTGACGGATCGTAGCAATGGGGGAAGCCCAGCACACTCGCGGTCACTTCCAGCCTAAAGTGATCCCAGGTTTATAGGCTATTGCTGTATGGGAGGCTATGTGTGTAGTTTGAGAGGAAGGGAGGTAACATGTAGGAGAGCTTCTGGTTTGAGGAATAGTCACTGGGCCAGTGCATTTTGCTTGGCCCACGGAATAGCAGTGGATTGCCTGTGATTTTCTGTGCTGCTATCTGTCTGGTATGCTGACATCCCGTAGCTTCTACATCAGAAAAGTTTTATGTGGAATCCTCCGGGAAGGAACCACAAGTCCTGGAGTTGGACAGACAGGACCTTTGCAGAGAGATGAACTACATGGGGAGGAAGCCAGCTGTCGGTCAGACTCACTTTCTGAGGCTCCAGCGGGTCAGGGCCTGACAGCACTGACAGGAAAAACCTAACAGGTCGGAGTGCTGTGGATTTACAAGCCCTTTGGCATATGTAAATCGCCAAAAACTGTTTTTCAGAACAGGCTCAGGAGGTGGCTGGGATTGTACATTAGTCCTCCATAGTTCAGTCCACAAGGTTATGCCTGACCAGGAACTTTCTTCCTAAGTTTTCACATCCCATCCAAACGCCAAACTCAGGCAGACTTAGTGTGTGTGTCCTCAGTGGCATTTGTTGGTGTCCCCAAGGCCTTTCTGCGCTTAAGCATATCTCGCTCAGACTTCACAGGAAGCCTGTCTATCATTTATTCTCAGTTCTCTTGACTAGCAGGATTTCACCAGCTATTTTTATGTCAGAATGGAAAAGCATTTCATTCTTACTTAATGCTTTTTTAAAGTTAAAAAGTGTGTGTGTAGCCGGGCGGTAGTGGCGCACGCCTTTAATCCCAGCACTCAGGAGGCAGAGGCAGGTGGATCTCTGGGAGTTCGAGGCCAGCCTGGTCTACAAGAGCTAGTTCCGGGACAGGCACCAAAGCTACAGAGAAACCCTGTCTCGAAAAAAACCAACCCCCCCCCCACAAAAAAAAACCAAAAAAAAAAAACTGTGTGTGTGTATGTGTGTGTGTGTATACACACATCATGGTATAGTTGCCCAAGGAGGCCAAAAGAGGCTATTGGGTCTTGAGGAGCTGGAGTTACAGGTGGCTGTAAGCCATTTGATATGTTGGTGCTGGAAACTGAACTCAAGTTTTTAGAAACACAGAAAGAGCACCTGACTGTCTCTCCAGCCCATAAATACTCATTCTATGAGGCTTCCAATTTCTTCTCGCAGACTGCCCCGTCATTCCATAGTGGTGATTGCCTGTGCATAATTGTGGAATTTCAGCCCCTCTGGGAATTTTATGCACATCTAGGAATGCCAGTAATGATGGTTCAAATCATCTTCTCACTGAGAACTCCAGGTAATATTCCTTGGCATGAGCCCTGAGATGAATGCACTCTGCTTTCACGGTTGGTGCTGACAGCATCTTGGATTTGGCCTGTTAGTCTCTCCTTTACAGTCCAAGTGCCAGCTGATTCCTATAAACTGATCAGAGTGGTCCTGCCCACAGAGGGAGTGGGAGCCAGCAGGTCAAGTTTGACTTCCATGAAGGGGAAACCGTCCCCTGCAGTAACACTTCTGACTCTTTATTGAAGTTCTCCTTTGCTTTCATTAAAAACAAAACAAAACTTTCCATTCTCTAGCCTCTGGGCTACCTTCTTTTTCTGGTGGCTTCAGGAAAAGACCTATTTATATTACTGGTCACCGTGGTCTGTAACGTTTAGTACCTGCTTCTCTGTTAACTCTTTGGATTGAGTCTCTGTTCATCTTCCTTAGCTTCTCAGCCATTTGGCCAGGCCAGTGAGTGTCATTCTCTCTTTGCTCTTACTGTAGTTGTTGACTCTGAACAGCAGAAGTGGTAGAAATCATATTTGAATGTTCTTTAGGCTCTTGAGAGCCAAGCAGGACTGACCATTTCTGCCTTTTGTATAGCTCCCCTAAACTGTAAAATTAGAGCCTTGGTTAATTCCATGTGTATTAGGAAGAAACCAGAAGTTGAACAGTAAAGTCGTGGGGGGGTGGGGGGAGGTGGAGGGTGTGGTCATGTGTATGCGTGTGTGCAAGAGAGGAGGATGGGAGAATTGGTCTCAGTCCACTGATAAAAGTGCTCCTCTTCCTCTCTCTCAGATCCACCTTCACAGACATAAGCATCTTGCCTCTTTTCCAGGCAGCCTTTAGGCCAGTCAAGTCAAGACATAGAATTAATCGTCATGTGTGTGTCCACCCTTTGATAACATGGCGTGTGTACACCTCTCCTTCCACAGCACCTGGGTCCAGCCAGAGTTAGGTGGTTCTGTAATACACTGTGCGGCTGTGCTGCTTATGACTGAACATATACAGTCTCTTCGTCAGAGAGTCCTAGTCTCAGTTGATGTACCCAAAACTGAAATAGGGGAATGAAAGGAAGGAAACAAAGATGTTTACCTAATGTGTTTGTAACAAAATAAGGTGGAAATGTATTGGAACTTTGATAGCCTCATTTCTGTAATGGGTCACATGGTCATAGTTATTATAACGGCTCTCAAAGTCCACGTAGTGGGGAATGCAAGCGGAGCTGCTCAGATCAGTAAATCCAGGACAAAAGAGCAGATACAGCATCCTTTCACATACTTAAATTCAACCCTAGGAAAGTTGACTTCGTTGTTTATTAAGTGCACACATAATGAAAAAAATAAGAAAGGACAGTGGAGCCCCAAAAGCCCAAACCGAGGTCACTCGGAACAGGAAGTTGCTGGAAGCAGCATCAAAGCAGATCCCCAAAGTGTTGGCAATAGGCAATTCTTTCTGTCTCCGTCATAATTCTCTGTCTCATAATCGTTTATGAAGCCCCTCAGTGGAGTTGCTTCTTTGCCTGGAAGGCGACTAACACCTTTATTTTGGAAACTGTCTGGGCCATTTGTCATGCTGCCTGAATCGTGCTGTTGTGATTTCTTATTAGCCTTAATCACAGAACACGATCAAACCAAGAGACTCTTTTTTAAAAAAAATATTTATTATTATGTATTCAATACTCTGTCTGTGTGTGTATGCCTGCAGGCCAGAAGAGGGCACCAGACCCCATTTACAGATGGTTGTGAGCCACCATGTGGTTGCTGGGAATTGAACTCAGGACCTTTGGAAGAGCAGGCAATGCTCTTAACCTCTGAGCCGTCTCTCCAGCCCCCCAAGAGACTCTTTAAGAAATTTCCTGCACTCTATACTTCCTAGTCCTTTGTAGAGAAGTCATCTGCATCCCCCAGGAGTCTGGGTCAGCCACCTTCGCATGCACCCTAACTCATTTCTTTATCTGTTTGTTTATGGGCATAAGGAGTCCAGAGTGGCAAGTGGCCCCTTAATTTCTGGTCCAGTTATTGTAGCATTATTTTATAAGTATTTCCCCTGTCACCTACTCCCACACCCTTTTAAATATTTAAATCTTTGTTGATTATTCGTCCTCTGAAAATACCTTATTTTACTATGAAGTGAAGTATTCCTGCAGGAAAATGCACAAAACCTTATATTGTGGAACATATATAAGGAGCTTCCTATTGCCAGCATCTCAGGAATCAGCCACGATGTGGCATCCTGCTGCACAAATTCTAACTATTCTTAATAATAAAAACCCGGAGTCAGATATTGGGTGAATGCTGAAAGATCAGAGAAGGAAAGGAGCCGGCCACTAGAGAGACCTTTTACCTCTACCAAATCCTCGGACCAGAGTGGACATGATCCTGTCCCCACCAATTCTCAGACTGAATGTATTGGGCTCCTATCTCCTCCCACCACCTTGTATTCCTCTCTCCACCTTCCTAGTGCTGGGATTAAAGACTGTGACTCCCAAGTACTGGGAATAAAGGTGTGAGCCACCACCTGGCTCTGTTTTTCTTTTAGACTGGATCAGTATTGTGTAGCCCAGGGTGGCCTTGAGCTCACAGAGATCCCTCTGTCTCTGCATCCCCGAGTGCTGGGATTAAAGTGTATGCCACCACTGTCTGGCCTCTATGGCAAACTAGTGGCTTAGCTCCACACTCTGATCTTCGGGCACATTTTGTTAGATCACAAATAAAATATCAAAACTATCACCACAGCTTCCAGCAACTTCCTGTTCCGAGTGACCTCAGTGGGCTTTTGGGGTTCCATGGTCCTTTCTTTTCCTTATTTTTTTTTATTATGTGTGCACTTAATAAGTAACGTGGTCTACTTTCCTACGGTTGAATTTAAGTATGTGAAGTGATACTGTATCTGTTTTTTGTCCTGGATTTGCTGATCAGCGCAGCTGTGACTGCATTCCCCACTGAGTAATCTTTGAGAATAATATTGGATGTAGCTTGTTTCTCCATTTGAAATTTTTGACTTGGATGTTCCATGTCTGGAAAGTGCTGTCCAAATCTAACTTGGATAGAGGACCTTTTCTACGCAGATGGTAACAGTGCTAAGTCTTAGGAAATCTGCACCTTCATCCTGAGCTACGCTTTGACTGCCAGAATTCTTTTTCCCACCAGTCACATAGTTGCTTTTCTTTGATGACCAAAGAGCTTGGTTTATGAACATCTGAGTTGCCTATGCTGTTGTGTTCTTGGACTGTGTGCCTTTCTTACTACGTTGGGGTTGCTTTATATTAATACAAAACGTGCTCTTTACACAGGACGATGTCATGATGCCCCAGAGAGTGAGGCTGCAGTATGAAGCTGCCGTGCAGCACCCAACGAGTGTGAGTACAACACCTTTTCTGTGTTGTTGCCATCTTTAATGGAATGCTAGTCTTTTTATTTTAGAGATTTTATTCCTTGGGATTAGAAAGACTGTTTATAGTCAGTCAAATTGGGGAGATTTGTGACTGCCATGTTTCTGAGCCTTTAAGGGTATAAACGTGTTTCTGGCTAGTGGCAACAAGAGTAGGAACCAGATGCAAAACTACCTTGCTGCCTATAGAAGTGTAAGGTGTTCTTTTGAGAGAATGCCACTAAGTGAGATCAGAATTCTTAATTTCATCAAAGAAAAGAATTTCTTGGGCTAGAGAGATGGCTCAGAGGTTAAGCGCACTGGCTACTCTTCCAGAGGACCTGAGTTCAATTCCCAGCAACCGCATGGTGGCTCACAGCCATCTATAATGAGATCTTTTCTGACATGTAGGCAGACATGCCCACAGCACATTGTATACATAATAAATAATCTAGAAAAAAAAAAGAATCAATTTGAAAAAAACAAAACATCAAAAAAAAAAGAACTTCAGGACAAGTCACTATGAAGTAAAGGAGTTTATTAAGAAGGGATTTTTAACATAGATTTAAGCAGAGTATTAATAGACAAGTATTTAGGAAAAGATACCATACCCCCAAGTACGGGCATAGACTTCTCAAGAGAGTCACTTAAGGATCTTATCATAGCTATACAAAGCTGGGCCATGGTGGCACATGTCTTTAATCCCAGCACTCGGGAGGCAGGGGCAGGCAGATCTGAGTTCGAGGCCGGCCTGGTCTACAGAGCGAGTTCTATCAAGGACAGCCATGGCTATGCAGAGAAACCATCTTGAAAAACAAAACAAAATCACTGTACATATAATTTTGATGACTTCTGAAGCTACATTCTTTAAAGGATTCTAAGAAATTCTTTTTTCTTTGCTGTGTTGTTTCTTTTATAAATGAGATCAGAGAGGGTAGTTTCTGCGGTACGTTGGACAGGATTAAAGGGTAATAAGGTAAAACCATAGGTCAGAAGAGTTGAAGGAATCTTTTATATATTAGGTTACAAGGAGTTAAGACATGTTTTTACTGTAAACAAAGTTTACACTCTTGTGAGAGTCTTAGAAAATTGACGTTTTATAGCTGGAGAAGGGAAAGTAGTAGCCAAATGCAGCAGGGTCAATAACATGCTTAGGCCTCAAGCATGATCTGTTATCATGTTATAATACTCTTACTTGAAATAAAAAGAAATTGACCCTATGTAGTTAACCTCCACAGGAGATTTTTTTTTCAATTATACTGGAATTCTTGACTCTCAACTAGAGAAAGACTTCAAGCAAAAACTCCTTCCTAAGCAAAGGGCTCCTTTCTATGTCCCTTTGATGTCCACTGTCTTTCTATCCTGTTACCGTTTTGGGAAGCCGTTGTCACTTTGAAACAGAAAAGACAGATTTCTTTCTTCCTCCCCTCCTCCTCTCCGTCCCTCTCTCTATTGCTTGCTTTATGATGCAGTGGTTATCCTCTGCCATGTAGCCACTCGCCCAGGACAGGGTGTTGCTTCCTACCAGGGAGTTCAACTCCATGTAAAGTCAAGTCGGACTACAGTGGCCTTTATTTCCATATTACACTGGTCCATTCGGAGGGGAAAGGACACTAAGCAACCTTCCCAAAGCATACTTTGAGACATTCAGATCATCAACCTTTTACCATCAGGGCAGCTGGTTATCCTCCCGCTGCTTTCACTAAGTCGGCACCTTTTACTTATTTCTCCCCTCCCCTCCCTTTGATCCTGATGTACAAACACAGACCTCAGACCCCACTCCTGGAGTAGGGAGTTCCCGATTCTTTTTGTTGTGGTTTGTTGAGACAGGGTTTCTTTGTGTAACAGTCCTAGCTCTCGAACTTGCTCTGTAGACCAGGCTGGCCTTGAACTCACAAAGATCCGCTTGCCTCTGTCTCCTGAGTGCTGGGATTAAAGGCGTGTGCCGCCACCACCCAGCTATCCCTATCCTATTTCAAGTCAGAGGCTGAAGACTTATGTGCCCTGAGCTGGGGTTGCTGATGCTGTGGAGGACACCTGTAAGATAAGAGGACATGCCTTGGTTGCTCTTGAGAGGTCTCTGGCAGAGGATAGTACCCTTATATCCCCTGAGGCAGCTCTGTGATTCTTGGGGGTGGGAGTTGTTCCAGGTAGGGATGTGCCCGTATCAGTCCCTATTACTCTGCCTGCCTCACCAGTCTTCCCAAGCCCGTCCTACCCAGCCTACCTTTGAGGCTGCTTCTGACGCTTCAGCCACTTTTGTCTGCATAGAGGGTAGATGTTGAACTTTACCCTGGGAGATCTCAGAACCTCTTCTATTATAGAATTTTAAGGCAGGGACACGAGCTACTCTGCCCATGTAGGCAGTAGTGTGTGATCATGTGCACTGCCCTCCTCGTAGCAGAGGGCATCAGTGTAACCACCTTCACCATGGTTACCAAAGGTTCTGGGGGACTCGGACCCACAGGGTGTGTGCAGGACTTCTGTGTGCAGTGTGTTTCAGCAAGAGAAAGGAAGATCTGTAGCCTTCATTGTGTCCCGAAAGGGTCATGAGTAAACAAAGCTGAAGAGCCACAAATCACAGTGTTCAGTGACCACAGACTCTAGAAGTCGCTTTTCTAAAGTTCAAAAGCATAGAATATTCCACCCCCCCCCCCCCTTCAATTGGGAAAGATGTCAGGAGATGGCCAGCAGTGTCTGGCAGCATGCGGCTGTCATGGAGCGAATGGGAACTCCATTTACATCAGGCAATGTTGTCCTTTGGCTCCCCAGGGTGGGAATCACTAGGTCTCACCCAACAGTTCAGGGTTTGCTACCCCAGTCGCCAGAGATACTGGCAGGTATCCTCATCATCTGGAGAATTTTCTGGTGTGGTCTGTTTGTTAGGAGTAAAATAAACTTCCGTGCTGTGTCTGTGAAGGGAACACAAGGGATAGAATTTCCAGAAGTTCCTCTGGAGTGCCTGCCTGCCAGATGATGTTTGTTGTGGAAGTCAGGGGATGAAGGACAAGCCCTGCTCTGAATTGAGCCTGCTTGCTGCCCGACTCAGTAGGACATGTTCGTCTGTGCTTTGCCTGTCCTGACGGTCGTGCTGAAATCAAGGCACATGAACTTGTCTCTGCCCCAGCAGAGAAAAGCTGTCTGGGGCTGGGGCTCCAGTTCTCCTGAAAGATACTGTATGCTTTACTCAGAAGTGAGAGTTTCCAGTTATTATAATATTATATATGCTGGAAACATGTAAGGAATTCTGTAACGCGTATTGACATTTTAGATAGCTGTTTTCAGATGTTTTAATCCCTTTCATTTCTACCCAAAGCTAAAACTAAGCAGATTGGCTGCATTAATGAACTCAATTCTGCGGTTTTTGTGCCATTCATTCATTGAAATGAGCTGTGGTATTTAGAGATGTTCAGGAATTAAAAAAAAACTGTCAATTTCTGTTATAGTTAAATCAGCCTTGACGAGTTAAAGCATTTTAATATATTGCTTAAAGTTCTAGATTATGACTTTTCCTGTCATCCTCACTGAGTTCTCAGATGCTCCGTCCAGCATCCAGTAGAGAACCTTGTGCTGCGTTTTGCTCCCAGCCTTAGAGTCTGGTGAAGAACTTCTTTCTCTTCTTGACTCAGGACCGTTGGCTCTGTAACACAAAATTAGCCTGAGAAGAAGCGGTTACTGGGATTCTGGGTTTAAAATCATGGCTTACGAAGTCCTAATCTGTAGTTGCTGGTTGGTGGCTATGTTGCTTATTATGCTTAGTTTGTTCAGAAGGAATGAAATGAATGTTGGCAGTCTGTCCCTGCCCTGTTGTTACTTCCTTGAGGCCATTTACAAGAAAAACCACTTACTTAGTAAGGGAAGACCCCTGATGGCAGCTGGGATAATGTGTCCCATTGTTTGAATCACTGCAGAATTCTTGGATTTTATGTTTGGGGCATTATTAGAAGCTCTAAATGTAATTTATTATTGTCATTAATTCCTATCCTCAGTCTCCTGAACCTTTGCAACCTAAACAGTTCTGGAGCTGATAGGAGAATGTGGGAAGCCTCATGCTTGCTCTGCAGGATCCTCGGGTTGTCACAAGGGGCCTTCCCACTGGATTCCTGAGCAGAGGCATGGAGGGAAGGGTGGTGGTAAGCGGGTGAAGACAGGAAAATCACATCATCCCACTTGTGTGGCCCACTATAGACAAGCATGGTGGTGAGTGGTGTACAAATAAACACTAGATGGCTGATAGTTCTCTTTGGAATCCTTGTACTTAGGCTGTGTGGGTGTCTGCTGAATCCAGTAGGCTGCAGAAATCAAACTCAATGTTAGAAGTAGGCACAAGAGCCGGGCGATGGTGGCGCACGCCTTTAATCCCAGCACTCGGGAGGCAGAGGCAGGCGGATCTCTGTGAGTTCGAGACCACCCTGGTCTACAGAGCTAGTTCCAGGACAGGCTCCAAAGCCACAGAGAAACCCTGTCTCGAAAAAACCAAAAAAAAAAAAAAAAAAAGAGAGATGCCCTCTAAAACTTAAAAAAAAAAAAACAAAAAAACCGAATGAGAAGTAGGCACAAGAACATCTATCACAAGCACTAAGCATAGATGAGTTGAGGAACCGCCAGCCTTCCTCTCCCAGGGTCTACCTCTACAGAGTAAACTTTCTCATCCCCCAGTTCAGGCAGTAGCCTCAAAGACAGCAGAGCTAATATTTTCTATCCGTTCCAATCCATATCTTTGAACTCTTACCTACAGATGAGACAGGAACTTTCCTACAGCTATAGTCTCTCTGATCCTCATTTAACCTGTAAGGTAGGAGCTTCCCCCATAAGTGGACTTTTCTTTCCTACCAGCCAGTTCCCGACTAACCACACAGAGACTTATTAATTATAAAGCTCGCCTGATGACTCAGGCTTATTACTAACTAGCTCTTACATTTTAAATTGACCCATATTTCTTATCTATGGTCTGCCACACGGTGGTACCTGTTTTCAATATGGCAACTTCATCTCCTGCTTCCTCTGTGTCTCCTGTTGACACCTCAGACTCCTCCTTCTCCCAGCATTCTCTTAGTCCAGTTCTACTGCCTAACTTTATCCTGCCTGGCTATAGGCCAGTCAGCTTTTTTATTAAGTAAGCCAATCACAGTGACATATATTCACACAGGGTAAAGGAATATTCCACATTCCCCCCAGCTATATGGTCTTACTGGATACTTGTGAGGTAAGAGGTCACCCAAAAGTCGAGTCTTTCACTAACCTTCATTTACCCTGTGAACCTAGGACTTCACCCCTAAGTAGAGTCTCAGTGACCTTCATCTTCTTGGTAATGTAGGACCCTTATCCCAAGGACAGCCTCACCAACCCTTGCCTACTTGGTAACATGAAAGCTTTACTTTCACTTTGGGTATATGTAGTCGGAGGCCGCTTGTTTTTTTTTCCTGGCTGCCCAGACTCCCAAAATAATCATACAGAAACTATATTATTTAAATCACTGCTTGGCCAATCACTTAAGTGTATTGCTAGTTAGCTCTTACATCTAATATTAACCCATTTCCAGTATTTTATATTTTACTACGAGGCTTGTGGCCTACCGGCAAGGTTTCAGCTTGTCTGTCTCTGGCGGCGGCTCCATGGCTTCTCTAAATTCCACCTTTCTTCTTCTAGCATTCAGTTTAGTTTTCCCCGCCTAGCTCTGTTCTGCCCTGCTCTGCTATAGGCTCAAGACGGCTTCTTTATTAGCCAGTGGTATTCACAGCATACAGAAGGGAATCCCACCTAGCAAAGCAAGAGCTTCACTGTAGCACAAATCATAAAAACCCAGAGAAAGATACTGGGGTTCAACCTGAAGGTCAGGAGAGCAAAGCAGCTTAGCCAATAGAGAGCTCCTACCTCCGTGAAATCTTCAGAGTAAAAGGGAGCAAGTTCCTGTCTTATCTTCCTTTTCAGGGCTGGTATTAAAGGCATGGACCACCACTGCCCGGCCTCTATGACTAAATAGTGTGGCTCCTGGTATTAAAGTTGTGTGCCACCACTGCCTGGCCCATGACTGACTAATGTGTTCTGATCTTCAGACAAGCTTTATTTATTAAAATGTAAATGAAGAATCACTATATTTCTGGGCAAAGTCTTGAGCATACATATGGTGGGAGCTTTGCTCCTAAGTAGAATTTCACTGACTGTTGTCTACCCAGCTACGCATGAGCATCAACTCAACTGCAGTTTCACCGATTCTTTTTCATTGTGTGAGGCATGAACTTCAACCCCTAGCAAACCAGCACCAAATGTACTAGTGATTTTTCTGTTGCTGTGACCATGACCGAGGCAACTTAGGACAGAAAGAGCTAATTGTGGCTTATGGCTCTAGAGAGATCGTGATGGGGGGAGACAGCAGCAGGTAACGGGCATGGCATCTGGTGCAGGAAGCTGAGGGATCACATTCTCAAGTGCAAGCGTGAAGCAGAGCGTGAACTGAAATAGAATAAGGCTTTAAACCCTCAGAACCCACCCCTAGTGACATACTTCCAGCCAGTTCACACCTCCTAAACATGTCCAAATAGTGCCACCAACTGGAGGCCAAGTATTCAAATGCCTGAACGTATTAGGGCCATTTTCATTCAGACCCCCACACCAACCCTGTTCTTCCCACAACACGGAAGCTTTATCCCAGGTCCACTGTCACCACCCGTGACATAAGAATACTTGTCAGAGTGTTGTCAGTGGTTGTTCATGTGTTCCTGGCCGCTCTGACTCGAAACAGTCACACAGAAACTATATTATTTAAATCACTGCTTGGCCAATCACTTAACTTGTATTTCTGGCTAACACTTATATCTTGTTTTTTAACATTTTATTTATTTATTTATTTTAAAGATTTATTTATTTATTATGTATACAACATTCTGCCTCCATGTATGCCCACAGGCCAGAAGAGGGCACCAGATCTCATTACAGATGGTTGTGAGCCACCATGTGGTCGCTGGGAATTGAACTCAGGATCTCTGGAAGAGCAGGCAATGCTCTTAACCTCTGAGCCATCTCTCCAGCCCCATTTATATCTTAAGTTAACACTTTTCTGTTAGTCTGTGTATCAACACGAGGCTGTGGCTTACCAGCAAGGGTCTGTCTAGCGGCATTCTGTTCTCTCTTCCTCCTGATGCCAAGGATTTTTGCTTGAATCGGCCCCCAATCCTTGGATTTCACACTTATTTACAAACCCTTAAAATCTTTTTGTTGTTGTTTTTCACAGATCATAGGATGCCAAGTGAGGAGAGACCCCCCAGACTCTACAGAGCGATACACACGTTGGATCAACCAGTTGACATCGGATCAGCTGTTGACACAGGTGACAACCACTGGGTGTTTGATCTTTTATAGGCTCAAGGTTAGAGTCCTCTGGGACCATGTCCAACTTCTTGACATATCCTGTCAGGGTTGGGCTTTGTAACTTCGGTCATCTACACACTATTAACTAGACAATGTCTAGTTGCTTTGAGCTTTGATGGGTCAGGTCAGCGTAGGACATTATCTCAAGTACTGGTTGCTCAGAATCCAAAGAAAGCATTTTACTCTGCAGTGTGTCCTTAACGTGGCCCAGGTGGATAAGCATAACATTGGCAGCCACAGTGGCTCCAGAATCAAATACACAGTTGCTTTAGCAGTGGACAGAGAGTGGCTGTGTATGAAGAGTATATGTAGAGGTAGAAGGATGGCTATAATTCTGGTATGCAGGTGTGAGGACAGACACAGTTTCACCTAGTAGATACTGACTTAGACCTAATTCTGTTGAGTGAGGATTTGTGGGCATCATGGAGTCAATGATTATGGTTTTCCTCTATGGGATCCTCTGTCTATCCCCGCAGGCAGGCAGAGAATGTCTTGTCACCTTGTACAGAGGCAGTCAAGGCCCAGCACCTGCCGCAGAGCCCTGATTCATGTTGCTGTCACAGGCTTTTATGCTGTGAATAGAAAGATATACTCTAAATTGTTGAGTGTGTGCAAAACAGACATTGGGCAGACTGTGACTGTTCCATGCATCTGTGCCGCCTGTGAGAGCTGGAAGGTAACACCACACCGGTGGAACCAGTGTGCACACAGTGTATCAGGATGCCCTGGGGCACAGATCATTGTTACATGTCTTCTGAGAGCAATTTCCATCCAATATAGTGGATGCCCAACATGAGTTCAGAATCTCTCCCTAGGAGGTTAGGTGCAGCACGCCTCTCCTGCCAGCAGAAGAGACGACTGCAACAGGATCCTTCTCAGAACACCCTTTATTGGAGCACTTACACTTGAGGTTTGAAAGAGGCAAGAAGACCCCGTCCCCGTGGAAGCAGAAGAATATATACGGTGCCAGACAAAGCCCTGACGTGTCATCAACCCAATGGCTCAGGCCAGAATGGAGCAATAAACGTGCTAAATAATGATTGGCCAGATCGGATGGCCAGATCGAAAGACTCCCCGTGCTGGAGGGGGGGGGGGGGGACTCGCGCGCATGTGCACAAGTTCTCTCAATTTGACGTGGAACAGCAAACGGCGCCCAGGCTCCGTGCCCACAACATGACAGCGCCATGGTGCGTGCTACATCTCCCCCTTTTATATTTTAAAGCAGAAACCCGATCTAGTTTGAGACCTCATGACGTCCCCAACGATCAAGGGTTAGGGTGCGCTGTGCGCGTCATGCTGTGTATCCTCTCATGGGCAATGGCAGCAAGGCCTATGAGGTGCAAGGACTACCAGCACGTTTAAAAAACATTGAGAACTGGGTGTGCCTGTCCCAGTGCAATGTCTCTAACGACTTGGGGTGCGGAGGCCACATCCAGTTATAGGTCATGCTTGAGGCTAGCCAGCCAGACCTGAGGGGAGATGCCATGTTCGAGGGCGGCAAGGGCCTGGACTATAATTGCTTTGTCCCGAGCTTGCCGTGCACGAAATCAGCGCAGAAGCCAAAGGCAAAGAAACACGCTGAGGCAACATATGGCACCGAATACGCCAACCCCCACCCACTCCTTAAAGAAAGAAAAAGCGGATTGCAGCCAATCAGTAAATTGTCCAAAGGTTATGGGCTGTATACGAGTATCGTTCAAGGTAGCAATCTGCAACAGCTGGTCCTGGATCAGGTTCTCCACTTCCTTGGACCAGTTGCCTGCAAGGAATTCGCCCAGGATCTTTGATTCATTTCTGGAATTATCAAAAGAAAGTGGGGTTATGCATACATGCTTTTGATACGAAATGCAACCCATTTAAACCAAATCAGCCAAATCATCAATTTGACTTTGTAAAAAATCAATTCTTTGATTAGCTGCCACTATGCCTGACAGCATGTGTCTATTTATTCTGCTTTGAGTATCCAGCACTGTAGCGGCCTGTGCAACCACATTATTAATGGTATCTGCAGTTTGTACTTGATTGGTCATAGCCACTGCTGCGGTAACCGCGGCAGCCGCTGACACCACTATCGCTGTTACTATAGCGGCGGTGAGTCCAAAATCCCTTCGTTCTCGTAAAAGAGTAACGAGTGGGAACGTATCAGGATCCATTTTAACAGGAATTGGCACGAATGTTGGTATCCTCATAACCACTACAAGGCTCCATGAAGCATTCCAGCATTGAGCTAGAAAGCAATCGGTACTCCTGCAATCTACCTCTTGGGTAGCATTAGTAATATTAGTTAGCAGAAACACAAAAGGAGAAGGTACACACACTGGTGCTGCCGCCAAGGTAGTATTGGCCAGCTCCTCCTCCTGAAGTACACGAAGTCACCTACCAAGGGATGTTTCGGTTATTATACCAGAAACATTAATCAGCCGGGTGGTGAGCTTTTGGATTTGGGCTAAGGCGGAAATGTCTGTTGTTGCTCCTGCCTCATTGGAAACCAACCATTGATACCAGGACCACCCATCCCCTATGGTAGAACTTTTGTTTGACTGATTATAAAAATATCTCTTCATAGACGGAGAAAGGGAGAATCCCTGTGAAATCTGTAACTCCTCCCATGTCCTGCCCTGACAGGCAGTATAGGTGGGAGGGAAAGAAAAATCTGGGACACAATTTGGGGATGCTTTAAATTCAGTGCTATCATAATCTCTAAGAGAGGGATCTTTCATAGGCACCAACAATGTGGTATTCATAGCCAAGGTGGTAACGTTAACTGAAGTCACATTACTGGATGTACCACTGCCTGATTGGGCACCCTGAACAATCTGATTTAAAGCTGATGCCAATATGCCTGTATTCACCTGACTATAAAGCAAGGGATCCATCCAATTAACCAAATTCTTTTGTTTTAACAGAATGCATGGGGTTTTATGTTCCAAGGAAAAACAAAAGGTCCCATTAAGCACAACTTTAGTTGAATTAAATCGTTCTATCTTATCATCTCTAGGGACCATACAAGGGGCTTCCATATCGCATGAGGTGGAAACCAAGGTGGGAATAATAGAGGAATTAGCGTGAACAGGCATAGGTATTGGCCATGCCCTGGTTACTGCCCACAGTTGCGTCATTTTCATCTGTATCATTGGCGTCCACAGGAGGAGAATCAGCACCACGAGAGTCGTCCTCATTGTCCTGTATCCGTTTCAGCTCTCTTGTCAGTCTTGCCGGGACCCAAACCGGTTGTTCCTGGCCCTGCGGAAAAATACAAACAGCTCCCCTGGATCTAGCAATCACTGGATCCGGGCCACACCATGTGTTATTTAATACATCTTTCCACTTTACTTCAACGTTTTCGGTGGGTAGAGCCCCAGCATGTCGGCTGGCCGCTGATCGTCCCTGATCATCAAGGTTTAAAAAATTCAAAGTGAAAGTAGCTAGGGATATGGCATTCTTGGGTGAATAGCCCTGGGCTACTCCCCCTTTTTGTTTTTGTAACATTTCCTTTAACGAGCGATTAGCCCGTTCTACAATGCCTTGCCCTTGTGGATTGTACGGCAGGCCAGTGTGATGGCAAACACCCATCTGAGAGCAAAACTGCTGAAAGGTTTTGGAGGCATACGCAGGACCATTATCAGTTTTCAAGCGTTTGGGTTTACCCCAAGCGGCCCATGCCTCCAGGCAATGAGTTACAACATTAACCATCTTTCACCTGTAAAGGGTGATGCATGGATCACACCAGAACAAGTATCGACTGATACATGCACGTATTGCATACGGCCAAAACTAGGTACATGGGTGATATCCATTTGCCAGAGGTCACCTGGTAGCAGGCCTTTTGGATTGACTCCAACATGTGGGGGGTGGTTGAAAGGGACACAGGCCTGGCAAGATTTAACGATGTCCCTAGCCGCTTGTCTAGGAATGTTAAATTTAAGCGTTAGTGTCCTGGCGGGCACATGATATAACTCGTGAAGTTGGCGTGCTGCTGAAAAAGGATCTGATGTTATCATTGGAAAAGCTCGGGTGGCTTCATCTGCGTGAGCATTGGCCTCTGCCATAGGACCTGGCAGCAGTGTGTGCGCTCGTATATGAGCCATGTGAAAAGGATGCGACCTCTTTCTAATGGTATCACGTATGGACAACAGAATGGAGACCATGGGGCTCCTGTCAGAGATCATTGCAGAAGATTCAAGTTGATTTATAGCATTGACCACATAATGGGAATCTGAGTAAATATTAAAAGGACCTGTAAAGGTGAGAAACACTGCCAGAACCATTTGACACTCCACTAGTTGTGGCCTATTTGGCTCAAAATGTTTAATGACTGTCTCCCCTCCCTGGACAACATAGGCTCCCACACCAGAGCTTGACCCATCAGTATAAACGGTGACTGCATTATCCAAGGGGCAAGGCTTGGTCACCTTAGGAAAAATAACTGGATGATTCATGACAAAATGTAACAGTTTATCGGAGGGATAATGATTATCAAACCTGCCAGAAAATGCACAGACAAGAACAGCCCAATCATCTAGTGTTGCACTCAAGACTTGTATTTGTTTAGGGGTATATGGCTGGATCAACAACTGTGGTTGCATAGCAAAATGTGTTAAAGACATCTTTATATCCATCATGACAATAGACGCCACAGCCGTGGGATAATACTCAATTGTTTTGTGAATGGAGGCATGAGCATGTATCCATAACAAAGGCCCATCTTGCCAAAGGACAGCTGTGGGTGCTGACTTAGTATGCAAAATACACAACACTAATTGTTTATTCTCATCATATCGTCTTAACTGTGCATTCTGGATGGCCTGTTCAACCCTCTCCAAGGCCTCTTTTGCGTCCTGTGTCAGCATTCGAGGGGACGTCACTCTTGGGTCTCCCTCCAAAATTTTAAAGAGGGGTCTCAACTCAGCTGTAGTGAGCCGAAGGTACGGCCGAAGCCAGTTGATATCACCTAGCAAT